CATATGCAAGAGAATCTTTCTTTTTCCATGCATCTGTCATTGGATTCGGCGGACTACTTATGATGGTCTCCCACGTATCTTCCTTCGTTAAGAGTAATTGCATTTTAAATTTCCATACAAAATAATTCGTATTGTTTAATTTGACAATAGCAAATTTTGTTTCGATACTCATCTTTTTGCTGTTCTATTCAGACACTGGGCCCATAACCTATTGCCACGTGCTGCGTCAATGGAATTATCCGTGTGTGAAATTAAACAAGCACTTGTAATCAAATAAACAGACTCAATTTATTGTGCAATAAAAAAAACAAGCAGCTTGTGTCTCTGAGGAGCACAGAAAAGAAAAGAAAAACCAATTGTTATTAACAAACGGAGTTAGGGAAAAGATAACGCGGCTAAACCGCTATTCACGATATAATAATCTATATAAGCAGTAATCGAGCGAACTAAGATAGACAGGCGACTCTATTACATTACGGTGCTACCAACTACGTCTAAATATAATCACTATAGTGTTGGGCATTAAATACAATGAGTTAAGATTATAGAACGTTTGAAACAATTGTAATGTCCAACAAAAATGGCCCACCCTGTATATACATTATACGATATCTCAAACATATAAGTTTGTTTTCTTTTATTCTTGTGACAACCGTCGTTCGATACAGACCATTTTCCACTTTACATTGTTTCACTTGAAGGATGAAAATTATACATAGCATCTGATTTGCCGTAAGTTAAATAGTTTCATTTTAATTTATAATTTTTAAAATTGTTTCCTAATATATAATAATATGGATTTAGAATTACGATGCGGATAATTTTCTTTGTTCGGATTGAGAAACAATATTCATTTTACTTGCTGACTTGAAGGACTATAGTTTGAAAGAGTAACCGTACTTCGTTTATTTTGTCATGTATCATTTATAAAGGAGACTGAAGAGGACTTATGTATAAGTTGAAACGTTTCTCAGTTTTAATATAGAATATTTTAATAAAAATTGTCATCATTTAAAAATTGTCATCATTTAATTTGTTTGGCTTGTTCTAATACCGTAATTTAATATTTTTATTTTATTTGTTTTTTTAAAATGTATTACGTTAAAATAGACAATTTGGTATAAGAATTCTATTAAAATTAATACTTATCTTTTGTGATTTATTTTTGAAATATAAAAAACTGTTATTTTGATCTCTCACCTAGAACACTATATTTGATTCAATATTGTGTAGCACATAAGAATTCTTTTTAAATTAATACTCATCTTTTGTGATTCATTTTTAAAATATAAGAAGCTGTTATTTCGATCTCTCTCCTAGAACACTATATTTGATTCAAGATTTTTAAGCACATGTGTGTGTGAGTCATAGTTTTCATTCATGTGTATCTTCATAAAGTATACATTTTCAAAATATTATTCTAATTCATAATTAATATTGTGAGGAACAATTGTTCTGTTAATCATTTTCGTAATAACATTATACCAAAACACTTATTACGTTTGTAGCGTGTTTGATTATATATAATATATGTAATAGATTTTGACATTGGAGTTAATACATATTCACTTCAATTGCATTATCTTTCAATAATAAAATGTATTACGTTAAAATATTTTAGAGAAAGTCTATGTAGACATACTGGAAAAGCACCGTTCGGATACCATCACCAAGAAAGAGAAATCATAATAAAGTTCTTGATACTGAACATTAGAAAGAAACATACAATAACGAACTTGAAGTCATATCACATACTACGTATAATTGATAGATTGAACGAACTTACCTGTGAAGTTCGATCCTAATTATGCCCCTAGTCTCGTCCGGATGGACAAGTATAACTATGTAGTCGTGCCTTGCACGCGCTCTGGCAACATATTTCAAAGAATGGCGTCCCCGCCAAAAACAAAATTCCCAAATTCCCGCGCGCCGGTATCATGCCCCGGCAGCCCGCGCGAGTGACGCCATGTTCATAAGTTTCAAGTTCTAGAGACAAATCACTATATAGAGGGGGAAAGAACTGTAAAAAAGAAAAAGGGAGGGAGTGTCCATCCGGACGAAACCAGGGGCATAATTAGGATCGAACTTCACAGGTAAGTTCGTTCAATCTATCAATTATGCTCTCTAAGGTCTTGTCCGGATGGACAAGTATAACTATGTAGTTGTTCAAAACCTGTGATTTGACGATTAATAAACAAAGTATAATACTTGTCTCGTTTTGGAGAATTCTTTATTATCCAATCAAACCAAACTAATCGATGACAATGATAATTCAGTGATGAGAAGGTAAGTCTTTAGTCAGAATGCTGCATAGACTCTTTAGAAGGGTAAAAAAGGGTCTGTCTACCTTCCTTGTCATCTCTTGAATGATTCTCGAGCGGTGTAGAGAAGGCTTATTGTTTACGTCTTAGTCAGTTGGGTCGAATCTCTGTTGAGACTAATAAAATGCTAGTGTATCCACTGGACTCTTTATTCTAACAAAACTCTTCTTACAACAACCTTCATTCGTCGTCCTTTACATACAATACTCTCGCGCTTTTCTTCTCCTTCTTGACCTAACCATTCCTACCTACTTTTTCGCGCCTTCTGCTTCATTACGCCACCTCACGACCACGATCACAAACATTACGAAACATCCCGCCCGCTTTGAAATCTTAAAATTTCAAATACAGACTTACGGAATGAAGTCCAGTGGCCAGAATCGGATCAAGTTAACATATCGGTAAGATACAGATTTTCGATATTGGCCGTTGCACGATATCGTTCGCAGTCTTAATACTCACTACTCTTACATGACCCTTTTTATCCGCATGTACTATAGTAATACGTCCTAATTTCCACTTAAGAGGTGGCAAATGATCGTCCTTGAGAATTACTAATCTATCGATCTGTGGTTTATCGTCGCCTACAGCGGCCTTCTTCCATTTACTCCTAACTTGTAGTTGAGACAAATATTCATTACTCCAACGAGACCAGAAATGTTGCTGAAGACTAATCAACAATTGATAACGTGTAAGATAATTCGTTGGAGTGTTTATTAAGTCACGTTGTAGTATAGCGTTTAACGATGTTCCTATTAAAAAATGTCCTGGAATCAACGCCGTCAAATCAGACGGGTCATTCGACATAGGAGTTAGCGGTCTAGAATTGAGACAAGCCTCTATTTCTGTGATCAGAGTATAAAACTCTTCAAATGTCAAAAGAGTATCTCCTACTACTTTTTTCAATCTATTTTTAACTGCTTTAATACCGGCCTCCCATATTCCTCCCATATTCCTTCCTATGAGGCGAATACGGGGGTATGAAGTGCCATTGAATAGCCTGCTCCACTAGAAACTCCTGCATTTGTCGTTTATGATCAGATTGCCGAATCAGATCCGCAAGTTCCTTCAACTCATTATTGGCCCCGATAAAATTAGTACCATTGTCTGAATAAATATTGGCACATTTACCCCTTCGCGCTATGAAACGTCTGAATGAGTTGAGAAAAGTGGCAGTACTCAAATCACTTACGAGCTCCAGATGGACAGCCTTGGTACTCAAGCACACGAACAAACAAAGATACGCTTTAGAACTCTTATTGCGCGAAAGTTTAATCTTAAACGGCCCCCCCCCCCCCCTCCGTAATCTACACCTACGTTCGAAAACGCTCGAGTGGGATTTACTCGCACGTCCGGTAAATCTCCCATGATCTCGACAGGGCTTTTACCGCGGAATCAACAACATACCAGACATCGATGCAGCACCCGCCGTACGGTGGATCGACTAGCAAGGATCCAATATTGCTCTCTTAGAATGCTTAACAAGGCCTCCGGGCCTGCATGCCTTAGGTGAGTTTCTCTGATAATTAACTCAGTAACGTGATCATTGGATGCGAATACAACAGGAAACTTTCGGTCATAAGTTAATTCCGAATTGCTCAACCGTCCTCCTACTCTGATAATTCCACGCGCGTCTAGAAACGGATGGAGACACAAAAGTTTACTCCTTTCGGAGATCGGGCGGTTTCTTGTAAGATCTGCTATTTCTTGTGAAAAATGTTGACTTTGATGTAAGCGAATGATGGTGATCATAGCTTCTTCCAATTCGTCTACTGACAGAGCCTCTGTTTTCCGATTTCTAGGATTCTTACAGTTGTGCGTAAATCGCTTGCAGTAAGCTATTACTCCCTTCAGTCTTTTGAGTGAGGAATATTTAACTAATAACGCATGTTGTTGCGTCTCGTTTACATATACCGATTGCATAGGTTTGGCTTCGGGTATCTCTTCTGGTAATTTCGAAAACGTGGAGTGTGGCAATTCTTCGGATTCCGTAAGCCAAATAGGTCCCTTCCACCATAAGCTCTGTTTTTTCAAGGCCTTTGGCGAGATGCCTCTTGATAATATATCTGCTGGATTCTCTGACGACCTAACATGTCTCCATGAGTCAATTCTTGTATTTCGGCTACTCTATTCGCAACAAAGATTTTCCATCGAGCGGGTTCTCCCTTGATCCAAGCTAACGTGATTGTCGAATCTGACCAATAATGTCTCTCTTGTATGAATAAGTTGAGAGCTTTCATAGTTTTATCCATCAACTTGGCTAATAATACTGCTGCACATAGCTCAAGCCTAGGAAGACTGATTTTCTTCAGAGGAGCGACTCTTGATTTCGTGCAGATAGCAGATAGATTTCGCTCTGAAGCGTCACAAAATCCATGGATTTCAAAGCTTGTACACGAGATGTCCACGATGAGTCTAGGAATCTCGATTTCCTGAAGTTCTGTCAAGGACCGATAATAGGACATCCAGGCTGTGTGTAGATCGGCCGGTAATGACTCGTCCCACTGTATGTTAATCTCGCCACAACATTTGTAAGATAATCTTCGCTCTAATGTAGATTGGACTAATTAAACCTAACGGGTCAAAAATCTGTGCGACCAACGATAAGATGAGCCTCTTTGTTATTGGGCAATGGTCGGGAAGTTTCACCTTATAAGATAGTGTGTCTGTAGTAGGCCTTCAATAAAGCCCTAACGTCTTGATCTCTTCTCCTAATGCTTGTTGCTCTCCAATTTTATCTCGCGAATCGGTTTCCACAATCTCTGACACATTAGATCTCCATTTGCGCATGCTGAATCCTCCGGTCTTTAAGATCTCCTTAATCTTACTCTGAATGTGTTGTAATTCGACCACGCTGCTGGCGCCCGTGATCAAATCATCCATATAGAAGTCCCTGAGAATAATCTGACTAATTTCTGGAGCGATCTCCTGGTAATCATGAGCCAATTGATGTAGACAACGCACTGCTAAGAATGGCGATGACGCCAATCCGAAAGTAACTGTGTTTAATGTGAACTCTTCTATTGGTGCATTTGAATCTTCCTTCCATAGAATTCTCTGTAAATCTCGATGCTCTTCGTGTACATAAATTTGTCTAAACATCTTCTCGATGTCCCCGGTTAGCACATAAGGATGTTGTCTAAAACGGATGAGAATGGCGAATAACTCTTGTTGTATGGTAGGACCCACTCTCAGAATATCATTTAATGATTTGCCCGAGGAAGTTTTACACGAAGCGTCAAACACAATTCTTAATGTTGTAGTCGAACTGTCTTCCTTTATGATCGCATGGTGTGGTAAATAGTAGCAATAGTGACTTGTTCGATCGATCTCTTCATTGCTCTTGGTCATATGGCCTAACGTCAAATACTCTCGGAGGCACGCGCTGTATTGTTCCTTCAGTTCTGGGTTGGAGTCTAAACGTTTGTATACGGCATGCAAACGTTTGACAGCTGCTTCTCGAGATTCTTCTAATTGAGTAGGGTCTTCTTGAAACAAAAGTTTGACAATAAATTTCCCTGTAGAATCTCTCTGATAAGTATCCTCGAACTCTTTCTCGCATTGTATTTCCTCTGGTGTGAAATAAGTTGTCGGAACACATTCCTCCAACTCCCAAAAACGTTTCAACTGTTGCTCTATTTTGGGATCCTGAACAGTTGCCTTAAGTATGATTCTACTTGATTCTTCCTTGCTGTGTGATATCGGTGCATTACCTCCTATTATCCATCCTAGTTTCGTCTTCTGTAAGATTGGTAAATTTCGTCCCAATTTTATTTGACCTATACAGAGTAGATCCCAAAAGATCCTACTACCTAATAAGATATCCACCTCTCTTGGTTTATCGAAGAATGTATCTGCTACTTGAACGTTTTCGGGTATCTTCAATGCATCCTTATCTATCTTTATCGATGGCATAGGCTCGGTTATGCAATTCATAATTATAAAAGATAACTCAACCTTAAACTCATTAACTGTTGAATGTATAAAGGCTCGTGTCGATCCTAATGTACTGGCCTGGCTACACCCAATCCCGGATAAAACAGTATTACCCTTCTGTTTTGCTAAATGAAGCCTTTGACTTAGGCTTTCAGAGATTATGTTCATTTGAGATCCCGCGTCTAGGAAGGCTCTGCATCGATGTGACTTCCCATACTTATCGTACATTATCACTGGAGCGGTTGCAAGCAATACGTGGTAATTCTGCTTGACTTGAGCAGATACCGCCGAATAAGTAATGAGTGAATTCGTTGCAGCCGTCTCCGCGGAATTAGATTTTGAACTAACTTGCGTATCTATTGTTTCCGATTGCTCTTTCTTATGAACATTACCTGCCCTCGGCTTACCATCGTTGATATGTAATAGGGTGTTGTGTTTTCTACCGCATTGCTTGCAACCACCCGCTATGCATCGATTTACAATGTGATCCGCTCGCAAACAATTAAAACATAATTGGTTATTACGCTTAACTTCCTTTAACCTATCATCGATTGATAAACTCTTAAATGTGGGACAATTGTAAATCGCATGTTGACTTTGACAAATAATACAGCCCTTAGCGTTCTGACTAACGTGTGCCGATGCGCTTTCTCCCTTCTTCGCTGATGGGATTGACGCAGTGTTTTTATTCAATAATTTCGCTGGTTGTAATGCTTCTAATACCGCGCATTGCTTCGACAAAAATTGGATGAGATCCTTCAAAGTCGGTAGGTTTTCATCCTGCAGGCTGGATTCCCATTTCCTTCGGGTAGGATGATCTAATCTTGAAGCGGTCATGTGAATGATCAAGCTATCCCAGCTTTCGACTGGCTCTCCTAACGTTTTTAAAGCTCTAAGATGCTTTTGTATATCGTCTATCAATTTTCTCAATTGAACGGATGATTCCTTCGCCAAGGGACTCGTGTCAAATAAAGCTTGAATATGATGATGGATTAATAACCGTTTATTCTCAAAACGCGATTTCAACAGATCCCATGCGATTGTATAATTATCTGCTGTCATTTCTAATGACTGTAATACTTGAACAGCATTACCTTGCAAACACGACTTTAAGTAATAAAACTTTTGTACATTCTCTAACGTAGTGTTTTTCTCGATTAAAGCTTGGAATGTATCTCTAAATAATGACCATTGAGAATATGTCCCATCAAATTTGGGTAAATCAAGTGCGGGTAACCTTACCTTGCCCTGTTGTATGCTCTCTACTCTACTTGCCTCTGCTTGCTGCCGCCCTTGCTCTACCGTTACTGCTCTCGTTAGGATCGGTTCATTTTGAAATCTCTGCTAAAGTGTGATAATAACCTGACTCAAAATTGCTTCTTTCTACTAATTGTGCCTCACTCGTATCGATGTCCTCGATTTTGCTCTGTATTACGTCAAATTCGATCCATAAATCCTTGACTTTCTGCGTTCTAACCTGACATTCTGAAACATCTACTAAATCCACCGATAACGAGATAACATAATTATAAATACGCGTTAATTGACTCTTTATAGTCGCTCGACGTCTAACCAATGCTGTCATATCTTCTGCCATGGTCTCTTATGTGACTCTTACTCACCTTAAATGTGTTACTTACAGATTTTTGAATACTATATCTATACCCACTAAAGTGCTTAATGTGCTTCTTGTTGTGCATATAACTTGCTCGTAGTTGAATATGCCTGCTGTAACCTAAGACAATGCTTCCCTTTTGTCTCTAATGTGAACGAATACTACTCGTGTCGGGCTCGAAGGACCAAATATGTTTACGCCTTAGTCAGTTGGGTCGAATCTCTGTTGAGACTAATAAAATGCTAGTGTATCCACTGGACTCTTTATTCTAACAAAACTCTTCTTACAACAACCTTCATTCGTCGTCCTTTACATACAATACTCTCGCGCTTTTCTTCTCCTTCTTGACCTAACCATTCCTACCTACTTTTTCGCGCCTTCCGCTTCATTACGCCACCTCACGACCACGATCACAAACATTATGAAACACTTATGGCAGCAGGACTGCTTCGGCGAAGTTTTCCGGGTTGATGATAGGTCTGTTGTAGAATTTTGCGAATATTCTGGACTCTCCTGTCCAACCTGCTGCTTTCTTGATTAGATCTAAGGTGACTCCTTTCTGGGCTGCTCGAGATGTCGATGCATGTCTGGTACTGTGCGCCGAGAAAATTTCGGTGTTGATTCCGTTGTCCTTTAAGCAGCTTTAACCAGCGACTAAAGGTCTGAGCTGAGATTGCTCGATGTGATTTAGATAACGAAATAAATAGATAGTCACAAGAGGATGGCCGAAGGTTCTTTGTTCTCTTAATATAATGTTCCGTGAGAAGCACAATACAGAGATTATCATGATCTGAGAATCGAGAAAAACAGAAGAAAGGTTGTGGACGACCCGGGGCTGAAGTCTTAGTCCGCTCAGGACAGCGGATTATTAGTTTCGTGTCGAGCAAGATCTGAGACAATCTTATGGCAGCGAGAGTTTGCGCAATTGACGTCGTTGGCAAAAGATCCACCACGATCGAAGAGGAGCCGAGTATTAGTTGATAGTGGAGACCGATAGTGAAGCGATTAGAGCAGGAATGGCCTGTAGGGGCACTAGGCGAGCCTCGAAAGCCTTCCTGATAACCTCGCGACTCCCAGGGAAAGCGTCCTCCAGGATGGATGCTGGTTTCTGAAAGGAGACGAAAGTAGCGAGTAATCAGGGGAAAGAATAATCGGGTCTGATAGAGAAAGCCGGCGAAACAACGGGAACCAGGCCTGCGAAGGCCACCAAGATACAACAATTGTGCCCGTTGCTTCATCGTCAATAATCTTTCTTAAAACTCGAGGCAGTAAAATAAAAGGAGGAAAAGCATAAAACTTTAAGCTATTCCATGACAAAGTGAATGCGTCTACAGCAATTGATCCCGGGTCCGGGAACCATGACACATAGTTTACACATTTATAGTTGTTCGGGGATGCAAAGAGATCTATTTCGAAAGAACCGAGGGATTCATGAATCTTGATGAATGCAATTTCAGAGAGGAACTATTCCGTGTCCGGATCCTCGATTCTGGATTCTGCATCTGCTATTTTGTTTTGAGAAGATGGTATATAAGAGGCAAAGATAAAGATATTGCGCTTTTCACACCACTGCCAAATCTGTCTTGAGATTGATGACAGGTGGGGGAATTGAACAGATCCGAATTTGTTGATGTACGCTATGGCTGTAGAGTTATCAATACGTAGCAGAATATTGCAATTCTGAAGGTCGGGTACAGCGAAGTCCATTGAAGGCTGCCTTAAGCTCTAAGGCGTTTATATGAAGGGACCGCTCAGATTCAGACCACCAACCGTGCGTACGTTTCATTCCCCACGCTGCTCCCCAACCGTTCAAAGAAGCATCTAAGAAAATTTCGCGAACAAAGCCTGAAAGACGAATTTTGTTAGATTGGTTTGGATCTGCAAAGATACTGATCCACCAGTCAAAGTCTGACGAGAGGAAAGAAGGAATCTTCATTATAGTTGAATAATCCTCGTTATTCTTAGAGAGTGCTAAAAATTTTATTCTTTCAAAAGACTTGGTGTAAAGTAAGCCGTATTATACCGCCGGGCAAACTGAGATAAGGGAAAAAAAATCGATAAAACTAGCGAAATGTCTTATCTGACATTTTGACTTATGGGCCATCTTATTCGTTAAGATGCCCAGATTGATCCGTCTTTGCCGAGGAATCGAGATAGATTGCTCCTCAGAATCGAAGATGAAACCTAAATATCTGCATTTAGTCGAAGGTTCTAGGTGAGATTTGGTAAAGTTGATATAGAAATCCAGAGATTGTAGCAGGTTTAGCGTCACAATAACATTCGTCTGGCACTCCGCGAGAGATGAGCCTAAGAGGAGGAAGTCGTCGAGATAGACAACCGATTGATAGCCTTTATTATGTAAAAAAGTAACGACCGGTCTGAGAATCTTAGTGAAAATAAATGACGCAGTGGAAAGGCCAAATGGCAACGCTGTAAACTCGAAGAGTTTTCCACGCTACTGAAAACGGAGATATTTGCGGTGATTCTTGAAAATCGGCACCGTTAGGTAGGCGTCCTCCAGGTCAATGGTGGCCATATGCATTCCGGGGAGCATAAGGCGAATGACTGTTTTCCAATCCTCTAATTTGAAGTAAGGTGGTTTAACGTACCTATTTAAATTGCAAAGATTCAAGATAAAGCGTTTACCACCTGACGCCTTGTCGATGAGAAAGAATGGGGACAAAAAATGTCCCTTGCAGGGCTCAGTCGGTACAATGGCCCCCTTGAGTTGAAGACGCATGATTTCTTTATCGCACCAAAGGCTGTCAGAAGGAGAAAGAGAGGGTTCTGAGTAGGAGGCCTCCGCCAAGGGCACGGAAGTGAAAGGAATATGATAACCTTGTACGGCCTCTAAGATGCAAGGGTCGGATGTAATAGCCGACCACTGTTCGAGATAATCGCTTAAACGGGCAGCGAGTCTTATCGTGTTTAACGACGGTGTCTGCTCCTCGTACGGGAGTGTGAGCGATAGGTGCGGCTGTTGCGATAGGCTGCTCCCGTCCGTCGAGCCGCTGGGGAGCAGACAGGAGGCCTGCGGTTTTCCAAACAAGCCTGTTTGGCTGGACCTGGCTGGATACGTCTCTGAGAGGTATGCCGCAGAGGTTGCAACGTCTTTTTTCCCACCTGAGCTGTTGACTTGGATACCTCGCGGCTCGCTTTTTCACAACTCTGAGCCGCCTTTAGAGTTTCGGCGAAATTCTGTCCAAAAAGGAGATCATCGATAGGCGCCGAGTCTGCTGCGCTCTTTCCCACTATATTCAAGGAAGGCTTGGTAAATGCTCGCCTGGCTAGCGAGAGGCGATATTGGTGATCAGAGAGAAGATGAATACCCTCGGCAAAAAAAGATAAGGTTAACCTTGCTTCGTTATTAAAAGTCTGGAAAACCTCTGGTTTCAGTAGGAGAGACATACCTGAGCCGAAAGCATTCAGACAGACTCCTACCTGAGCTTGAGAAAGAGATTGAAAATTATCTCGCTTAATCACAGGAGGGGCGAGCGCTGTCAAAAGCTCCTTGTTGAGTTTCGGCGTCTTTAGGCATTGCAGGTCGTCTTTTACCTCGTATTTGGCTAAGAGTAAGGTCCGCTTATCCTCTGGCAGACCACTTCGAGATTTTGATTGAATAGCCTTCAAAACTACAGAGTTCCAAAAAGTCGGTGGTGTGGGTGCCTGAGCCTCTCCGAATAACTCGGAAGTTAGTGTGTGGGCCTCGGAAGGAGATTCTGCAAAACAAGATATATTCTGGCTTGGCGTAAGCCCCTCTTCCGGCTCGGTTGTCCTCTCTAATTATGTAAAAAAGAGAGAAAAGGAATTAGATGAGGGTGTGAAGAGACCGTCGGTTATAACCTCTCTTTGCCGAATGTCGCCACGATTCGGGTCGACAAGAGATTATACCTGGTTCAACGCCCCGGTCCATCTGGGGGACCGTCGGCTCTTCAGTACCCTGAGATAAGGCCGGGGATACAGTTACAGGCAAAGTAGTCCCTGTCTGCGACAATTAGCTTAGCGGCGGGTTAACCTCTCGCCGGGCGGGGCGTGAGACGTGAGTGAGGTTATGTGACGATGACATACGTCTAAATAGCTCACGCATATGCGATGCCATATGGTCAAAAAGCTCACGCAGCCTGCTACTGGAACGCCGGCTGAAGGCTGGGGATTCCCCCGTTGAGCGGGCTTCCCTCGACGGACGACGACTCGATGCACGAGAGAAGTGTAACCTGTCTTCGGATAAACTGTCCGAGAATCTGTCTCGTGAACTATTACTTGAATAAATCCGAGATCGCCTTTTATGCCGATCTCGTGAACGGCCTTGCGAACGATCTCGCGAGCGCGATCTCTTACGAACACCCTTCTTATTACCTTTGTACGGCATGATAAAAAACACGTGTTGCCACAGAGAGCGAACAAAACGCAATGAACATGGCGTCACTGCGTGGGCTGCTGGAGCATGATACCGGCGCGCGGGAACTTGGGAATTTTGTTTTTGGCGGGGACGCCATTCTTTGAAATATGTTGCCAGAGCGCGTACAAGGCACGACTACATAGTTATACTTGTCCGTCCGGACGAGACCTTAGAGAGCATAATTAACTTTATAATAAATGTAGGGGAGAGGCACGTAGGTTGAGACAGGGTTTTTTTTATGTCGCCATTTTCAACTCTGAGAAGTTGAAGAGTGAAGCTATATATCGTTGGAAAGGTATTGTAAAGACTTACACTTTAGGAGAAGCAGAAATTGATTCGGTTCAACGATAAAAATTTTTGGGGCAATTTTCGCAACACTCAATTTTTGACACCCTGAAAATTTGGCACGTAGGTTGAGACAATCAAAAATTTAAAAAAAATATGGAATCAAAATAAATCAAACCCTTAAATTTCAAATATTTATTGTCTATTTATTTATTCTAAAGGTTCATTCATTTTCGTCGGACAATTCGGCATCTGAGTCACAGTTTTGGCACGTGTAGTAGCTTCGGCTCATGTTGACACATTTTAAATGGAATGGTCGTTTGCACATGTCGCATTCGATGGAGTTGTTCTTCGTCAACTTAGCTGGCAAATCCTTCATACAAATCATGCAGAAATCCACATCTTCTAGATCCGATGATGAAGATGATTTTTTCTTTACAGCTCGCTCTTTGATCGGTGGCGGTTTCATTTGCGCTGCCTGTGTTCGTTTTTTTGCGTTTTCTGCCTTCTTTTTTTTTTGCTGCATCACGCTTCTCCTTCTTGTCCTTGAGGTCAGCAATAAAATCTGGTGAGGTAAGCACAGCACTTTTCATCGGTTTACGGCCGCGATTGGATTTTTTATGTGGCGTAGCCTGTTGAAATAGCCCAATATCACTGAGCAACGACGATAAACTTTCAGATCGGGAAACTATTGATGTCGATGGCTCTGAAGTATATACTTCCTCATGTGCTGTTATTTCCATTTGGACAGTCAAAACACAAATGCGCCGTTGATTTTCTTTATCAGAGGCTCTCTCAATTAAAGTAGCCGTTTGTCGTTGATCAGATTGAGCGGCCTGAACAAAATCTGAAGAACCAAAAATATTCCGATTCAGCGGACAGATGCCTGTTGCAGTAAAACCGGCTTTAATATTTGCTGGAGTCAAGGCTTGATCTAATGCCTTGCACGCAAGTCCAGGAATGTGCCGAATTTCAACGGCCTTTCCAGCATTTGCTATTTGCCAATCTTTGACCGCAGTCCTGTAATATCCTTTGACTGGACCATAAATAGAGACATCGAGAGGCTGCATTTTATGGGAACAGTGTGGTGGAAATGATACCATAGTAATGCCGTTATCCATAGCCAAATCGATTGCTTCAATTGACAAATGAGATATGTGATTGTCGATGGCCAGTAATATCTTGTTGTCTGCACTGGCATTCGTGTATTTAATAAAATGGTGCAAGTACTTGACAAATTCAGGCTGTTGAAACCATCCGGACTCAGTGCATGCAGCTCCAGCTGTTGGGGGCGCACTGTCCATGAAGTAGCTCTGCATATTTTTCCGTGGGAAAACGAAAAACGGTGGCACGGAGTTGCCAGCTGCGTTAACCGCCAATGCCATAGACACCAATGTACCGCGCTCGGCAGCTTCAGCCTGGCCTATACGTTTCAAGCCTCGTGGTGCAATGATTTTACCGACATTTGTTGGTACTGTCGGAAAACCAGTCTCATCCATGTTCCAAATTTGGTGCGGTTCAAATTCTTGATCTTCCATTAAGCCACAAAAATGGTCGAAAAACAAATCAACATTTTCCTTACAAAAGGCTTTGATTCGATTCAGGTTTGTTTGCTCGGGTGTGTGTAACGATAAATTTTTATGTCGCTCCATAAAACCATAGTATTACGTCTTTCCGGCCATTTGTTTAGTATCCCAATTTGCTGGATAGGCGACGTTCAGTTTTTGAGCAAATTCGTATGCCAGACGTTTTAACTCGGTAATACTCAAGCCATGATAAAGATTGCAGCATTTTAGGAGATATTCCACAAGAGCTTCTTCTTGTTCTTCATCGAAAACCTAAACAAAAGAAACATAAAATTAAAGAACACTGTTAAAACAAAAATCAACAAAATGTTGTTCTTACCAATTTTGATGTCGCATATGATGCAATACGGCCAATGATTGGTTTCAGTTGTTCGTTCGATAATTTCGAAATATCTGGAACTTCTGCGTAGAATTTCTTCACATAACGCGATAGACTACTTTTGTCGATCGAGTAGGTCACAGCAGCTGATCGAATACTCGTACCTTCAGTTTCGATCGCTTTGATTGCATTAAGCAGAGCATCGAAATCACTGACACCATGGTCTGCTTTTCTTGGTTTGCGATTAGATGCCATCTTCACTGCGAAAATATTGATAAATTCAAGAAAAAATTTTTAAAAATCTAATATACACACAATACCTACTTCTGATGCTATTTCAGTAGATGTATAGGGCCGGTTCTGGACCGGGAGCAATGAGGGGGGGTGAGGTGCGCGGGGAAGGTACGCGGGGGGGTATGACG